CCAGATTATGCACATCATGGTCATCCTGTCCATTATGTACTTAAACTGGGGCATGCTGGAGGATTTAACATGGTTAAAGGGATATCACTGTCCCGGTGAATAAACTTCCAGACTGATACGTCATCATGATATTTAAGAACTGCAGGGTCATTACTGTAAAACCCAAAGTGTGAGGGTACTATGGTAAAGTGGTGATATCAGTTGTTAATGCCATGGTACTTTCTTTGAAATACATCATATAGCTACCAAGTGGCATGAATTTGCACTACAGATGTTAATTGCACACAACCTTGGATGTTGATAACAAAAGACAGGGAAGGAGTCTGTTAGCTTTTAAAGGTTGATAATCGAATATTTTACTATTTTATGCACGCACAACCATATGGTTAGTTGCACTGTACACTATTTGTACTTGACACTAATTTTCCTGCTGTTTGCCATATTAGGACAGACAACCCATTTTAGAAATGAGAAACAGAATACCATGGTACAAATCCTTAAAAAAAAAAGTAAAGCTTTGCGACAGCTCTTCAAAAAGGTGTACAATTTTTGTTTCTTGAAAACTTTCTTTGGTGACGTTTTTGTCAAAATATTGAATAATGAAATGTGAAATAATGCACTTTATCCTTCTGAAGTGATATAATGCACTTAAGTTTCGGAAATCAGATCCAGATGTTTGTATTCTGGATGGCACTACTGTTAACAAATCTGGTGCTTTCTATTTACATGGTGCTACCTATGAGCAAATTTGAAATGTATGTCAGCATAAAACATTACTTGAATTAAACAAGCTGGACTCGAAGGTCTTTGAAAGTCTTTCTCTGTAAATCACTGAAGTATACCATCTGGGCACACGTGGGGAAATCTGTTTACATTTTGAGAGTATGCATTTATATTTTCAATTTTTAACACTGTAAAATTTGACAACACATTGAAAAAAAATAAAAATAAATAAAGTGGTACCCGAGCCATATGTAGAGATCGGAGTATCTGCTCTTTTAACACCTTACCATCATGGTGGTGACACTTTCACAGGAGGCTGACAGTCAAATTCATCCTCATGGCATGTGCATAAAATGAAAAATGAGCTATAAACATAACAACATACACTGTTGAAAGCACAAAATAATGATGTCAACTACTCACACATTCCTTAAAACAAAAAAGACGTCCGTTGGACCATGATTTTATCGCAGTGACAACTACACAAATATTTTATGTTCAGTAAACGACTAAATTCAGATGTAATTTGAGGTTTAGTGTTAATTTATGGATGTTATAAGAAATTACTCAACGTTGGAGTCGCTTTAAGCCCAGTTTAAGTATACTTCAGTTTTGACACAAATGCTAAAATACAGCCAAATGCACAGCCTTTTAAAGTATACTCCAACTGATCCAAGTGAACACAAACTGTCGACACATGCCCACTAGAAAGTATCTTTTGTCCACTGTCTGTGCTATTAGACTGCTACTGCAGTGAAACTGCAACTAAGTGTATAGATTATTATACAAATAAATTAATTTGTGAGAGATGTCTTATTTAAACATTTTCATGGCAACACGCTTATTGTGATGAGAGCTTACTGCCATGACAGCTGATCTGTTCAAGTCCTCCTGGGAAGTTGATATTTACGAGCTGGGAAGTAGTAATTACCATGTCTGGTGCAATCAAGTCACTTTGGCCGGCGCAATATAGCAATGAACCTTATCTTCAAAAATATTAAGCAAGATTTTTTAACTCTACTTCTACAAAATGCTGAATGAAGGAAGTACATTTAGATTTTTAGGTGTATTTTTGCTTTTTTAAGGTTTTGTTCAATTATGAAGATGCTGTAAACTGAATATTATATATTCTATTGTAATTGCACAGTACAATCATATTTTGTACATGCACCTTTGCTATTTTTATTGTAAATGAAATAACTTAATTTCAACAAATCTATAGTCAATATAGATTCTGAATCTATTGTATTCGACATGTTTTTTTTCCACCAACATGCCCCCAACTTGAAACCGCAGGGCTTTGTGGTGCTGTTTATGCGCATTAAATTCATAAAAGCGATCTTTCCTACATGACTTGAACACACTATAAAACATGAGCTACATACGTATTTGTATTGCTATTGGAGACTAAAATGTGTGTGACATTGTAAATAGATTTTACAGCATTGTGTTTTACAACCTGTGACCACTTGTTTGCCACCACTTCCGTGTGTAACAAACTGTGACGTTGATGATTGGTCAAATATGCATAGCAATTTCTAAATACACTCCAATCACCTCTGAGAACGAATTTCAAAATTAGAACGAATGGGTGTTCCGAGTAGTGCATATAGAAAAAGAGTTGACCATTCACTAGGGGCCAGTCGCGTAGCTACGGGTGGACCTGGGCCTACCCACCTGTCAGTCAGGCCCACCCAGTCATTTGCTTCACAAGGTAGCCCAATCATTGTGAATTCTGTTACAATAATCACAATACTTGACCTATAAAAAATAAATTGTGTTTTTTCTTAATTCTTGTTTGCAATATAATGATGAAGATAAGTTTGCCAACAGCTCCTTGCCGCTAAGCTACAGCAGGATGCCATTATACATGCCTTTGTCCATATTAGGGTTTTCCTGGCACGTCACGTTACTTCTGAGTCCGTTTTGTACTTTCTGCGCAAGAGAGCGCCCTCCGGCTTAGAGTATGAATGAAACGTCCCCTGCGTATTCCACACTCAAGTAGCTGAACAGCTCTGCGACTGCTAGTGCTAACGTTAATTCACCTATTTCTCCATCACCAGCAGCGCTCCATTCTCCAGCGTCTACCTCCCCTACACGCCATGAATCTACATTTTACTACTATGTAGTTGCCTGTTGTTTATTTTGTTTATGTGGCCGCTGAGCCAGACTATGACCAAGCATGGTTACCAGTGTTGGGGATAACTCATTACAAGTAATGCGAGTTACAAAATCAGATTACTTTTTTCAAGTAACTAGTAAAGTAACGCATTACTTTTTTAATTTACAAGAAAATATCTTATAATTACTTTTTCAAAAAAGTAATGCCAGTTACTTTGTTTTCCCATGTATTGACTGACAGCTCTCCTGTCCCCATATTGGGAGAAATCGGGAGTACAGAGACATTGTGTGCTGTGTGAACATGATGTTACTGTAGTTCTAGACTAAATGTGAATGTGCATTAATTCATCCCACTCACAAAAAAACAGATTTAGTATTCATCAAAATGAATTAAAACAGTGAAATGCAAACTCAGAATATGACGCAAACCTGCAATAATTAAATATGTTAAATAACACAAATGTATCTAATCCCATTTTATTAACCAAGGTCTTTGCTGCTGACCTTTGATGATCCAGTTCAACCATACTAATAAGCAAAAATGACTTCACAATTGTGCTTTATTTTTTTATTGCTGAAGAGTGTTTCTTCTCCTGCGTTCTACTGTACAGACGCGAATTTACTTTTGCTTCAGCCTGAGGTTTATTCATTACACTTTTTAGTCTGAAAGGGCTTTTATATTTGCTATAAATAGAACTTCTTATATTAAAAACAATCAAGCCCTGCTTATACTTAAAAAGTAACGCGAAAGTAATGCAAAAGTAATATAATGCATTACTTTCCATAAAAAGTAACTAAGTAACGTAATTACTTTTTTAGGGAGTAACAATATTGTAATGCATTACTTTTAAAAGTAACTTTCCCCAACACTGATGGTTACAAACTGTCCACTACTGTACTACTAGCTACTGTCCTGCTGATTTGATGCATGCACGTGTGGTGTGGCCGCTGTGCTCATGCTGTTCTTATCGTTATGTTCTTAACACTGCCTATAATGACATACAGGCTTATGCTCTGATTAAACAGTGATGTGTATTCAAGCAGGTGTAACTATTAGTTGTGTAGCTGTTAGTTCAGCTGTTTCTCACACAATAAGGTGAAGGCCTATTTTGATTATAGTTGCGATTTTAGGCTAGGCCCACCCAATTTCTCTGGGCCCACCCACATTGTAATTTCTGGCTACACTAGTGCTAGAGGCATTTTCAAACCTGGCTCGTTGGGATTGTTAGTTATCCAAACCTGCACATTTTTTTCCTTAGTTTGGTTTGTTTTATGTTTGCAAATGATCTTCTCTGAAAAGAGTGCATTGCAAGGATGCGCTGCAGTATCCAAGTACCTGTGTCCAAACTATCCAAATCATCCACAGCTCTGTAATGCCTTAAAAATTAATTTGCAATTATTTACAAATAAATGATGTTTCAATGACTGCAGAGTACCCACTTTGCAATGTGGATTAATATGCGTCTTTGATAAGACAGCACACAAGGATTACTAAAGTAATGACGTTCAATACTTTTTAACATTCTTCAGAGCGCTGCTTTTCTGCTTAATAATCATTTCAAATAATCATAATTGTCACTGTGTTTTGTGATGTTTCAACTGATTTCAAATCCTTTATTAAGGCCATAATAGAGTCTCATTCCATTTAGTTCTAACTGTGAAGCATTTCCGCTCTTTCATACCAAATCCTTTTGCATGAGAGCATAATGTTAGTCTTCATCAGAGCTACTGTCCTCCTCAGCTTCAGACACATCAGCGATGGGGAACCTCAGGATGGCCGCCACTCCACTCAACTGATTCAACTCTACAGAGACAAATCACACCATGTCAGTCACATGGCGATCCAAAATAATTCTCTGAAACAAAGACTATAGAAAAGAAACTTACGTTCTCCAGATACGTGTAGGCTTGAGAATATTCTAAAAACATATTATTAAACAGAAGGAAAGAGCTAAAATATTTTGTATAACACAGATAGCATAAGAATATGACCATACACAATTTGAATACCTGACATTTCCTCCATTTTCCTTCACATTGTCTACAAGCCGAACATACCGGCTGCGAGTGGCTATGTCTTGATGTCTGTCATGGAGAAGAAAAAATAAAATACATATTTTTATACGAAGTACACAATTAAAACAGAATAGACCATTACATATGGATTTGATTACTTTTTAAATGTACCTAAATAGTTGGTCACTGATCAGCATGATGTCAACAGCCAAAGCTTCACTCGCTCTTTCCACATGAGC